TCTCTCTCTCTCTCTCCAAATACATAAGTGTATACAAGTGAAACCCTGATGGCTATTTGCAGATATCCACTTAATCTTGATAAGTTTGAAAGTAATTCTTCAACTTTCTAATGTTCTAAAATTGACACTGTTCTGCATCAAAAACATGGATCCAATCATATTTTATAAAATTTTAATGTAATCTACTTCTAGTGTAAAATATGCACTCTGTACTTATTGAATACTTAGTATATGCTAGCTAGTATAGTAGAAATTGGGGTTTCAGTAGTCAACAAGATTTTAAGTTCACTGTCTTTAAATACCTAGAGTTTAGTTGAAAAGACAAATAAATCAGTGAAAACAAAATATGATAAAAATGCTGTGAGAAATGGCTGTGATAAATGCAGTAAAAGATGATAGCGAATGACTACTTTACAAAGTTAGGGCAGGAGAGGGTATCAAAATCACTTGCATGGAAGAGAAAGTGACCTTTCAGTATAAGAAGGAATTAACTAGACAAAGAACAAACCCACTGCCATTGATTGAATTCTGACTCACAGCAACTCCTATAGAGTGTCCGAGGCTGTAAATCTTTATAGAAATAGATTGCCACATCTTCCTCCTGGAGAGCAGCTGGTAGGTTTGAACCTTGGACCTCCAGATTAGCAGCCAAATCACTTACCCATTATGCCACTTCCCCCACCCCCGCAGGAAATGAGGTACTATTCAGAGTGGGCCCAGAGGTGAAAGACAGCATGGATCACATATTTCAAAACTGGAGTAAGTTCAGAATAGCAAAAATTTTTAAATATTTATACCAGTAATAATTATATTGCATCCTTGTTTCTCAGTTTGTCATACTATGGTAGCTTGTGTCTTGCTGTGAGACTGGAGGTTATCTCACTGGTATTTCAAATACCAACTGGGTCAACCATGGTGGACAGGTTTCAGTGGAGCTGCCAGACTAAGATAGACTGGTAACAAGAACCAGGCCACCACTTCTGAAAAAAAAAAAAAAAAAAAAAATGGCCGGTGAAAAGCTTATGAATAGCAGAGAAGCACTGTCTGATAAATTACTAGAAAACTTTATGAATAGCCCTGAAACATTTTCTGATATAGTGCCAGAAGATGAGCCCCTCAAGTTGGAAGACACTCAAAATAAGTACTGGAGAAGAGCAGAGTTCCCAAAGTAGAGCTGACCTTAATCGTTTTGATGGACTAAAAAAGCTTTTTTGGGATCTTTATTTGCTGATGGGGCACAACTCAAAATGGGAAGAAACAGCTGCAAATATCCATTAAGAATGTGGGATGTATGAAGTATGAATCTAAGAAAATTGGAAGTTGTTAAATATGAAATGGAATGCATAAAGATGTATATCCTAGCCATTAGTGAACTGAAATGGACTGGTATGAGCCATTTTGAATCAGACAATCATATGGTCCACTATGCCAGGAATAATAAAATTAAAAGGAATGATGTGACAGTCATCACCAAAAAGAACATTTTGAGATCTCTCCTGAAGTACAATGCTGTCAGTAATAGGATAATATCTAAAGGCCTACAAGGAATACCAGTTAATAATAGTACTATAATGCAAATTTACACACCACCCCCTAAAGACAAAGATGAAGATATTAAAGATTTTTACCAACTTTTGAAGTCTGAAATTGGCCAAATATGCAACCAAGACATATTGGTGACCACTGGCGATTAGAATATGAAAGTTGGAAACAAAGAAGAATCAATGCTAAAAAATATGTCCTTTATGATAGAAATGACACAGGAGATTGCATGCTAGAATTTTGCGAGACCGAATTACTTATTCAATACCTTTTTTCAACAACATAAATGGCCATAAACAGTGACTATAAATTTGGGCCTGACCAAATGAAATACATAGGGATCAGATCAACTACATTTATGGAAAAAGGCAATAGAGAATCTCAGGATCATTAGTCAGAACAAGGCCAGGAATTGACTGTGGGACAGACAATTGCTCATATGCAAGTTCAAGTTGAAAGTGAAGAAAATTAAAACAAGTAGAGGAGAGCCAAAATACGATGTTGATTATATCACACCTGAATTTAGAGACCATCTGAAGAATATATCAAATGCATTGAACACCAATGACCAAAAACCTGACAAGTTGTGGGATGATATGAATAACATCATGTAGGAAGAAAGCAAAAAAAGCACTAAAAAGACAGGGAAGGAAAAAAAGACCAAAATGGATGTCAAAAGAGACCCTGAAAATTGGTCTTGAATGCAGAATAGTTAAAGTGAATGGAAGAAATGACAAGATAAAAAAAGCTGACAGAAGATTCTAAAGAGCAGCTTGAGAAGACACAGTAAAATATTATAATGCAATGAACAAAGATCTGAAGTTCGGTTATTTCCTAAAGGAAAAATACACTCAGCATTTCTCAAGCTGAAAGAACTGAAGTAAAATTCCACCCTTGAATTGTAATATTGAAAGATTCTGTGAGCAGAATATTGAATGATGCAGGAAGCATCAAAAGAAGATAGAAGGATACACGAAGTTATTATACCAAAACTACTTGGTAAATGTTCAACTGTTTCAGGAGGTAGCATATGGTCAAGAACTAATGATATTGAAAGAAGATGTTCAAGATGCACTGAAGGAATTGGTGAAAAGCAAGGCTCCAGGAATTGACAAAATACCCACTGAGATGTTTCAAAAAAATGGATGCCATTGGAGACAATTATTTGTTTATGCCAAGAAATTTGAAAGACAGCTGACAACTGCCTATAAGAGATTGATATTTGTGCCCATTTCAAAGAAGAAGGATATAAGAGAATGTGGAAATAATTGATAAATATCATTAATATAGCACACAAGTAAAATTTTGCTGAAGGTACTCAAAGACATTTGGAGCAATATATTGATAGGGAACTTCCAGAAATTCAAGCTGTATTCAGAGAAGG